TATTTCAAAATTGAAGTTATCATATGACAAATATTCAGTGGACAAAGTTTGAACAAAAATTTATTGTCACTTTTATTTCAGAGGAATTACCTTAAAGCACGGAAACGCCAACTTCAAGAGGACAATGTTTAAAATTTACCCTTATAAAAATCTTGAATTCCATTTATTTCTTATGTGGAAACGCAACATCAAAAGTCCTGAAAGAAGCATGAAAAATTACAATTATGTTCTTCCATAAACCTTAACCCTGCTTAACGTTGTTGATTTGTGTTTAGCTTAATCTCACGTAAACACTGTGACAATCTGCTCAGATTGATCTTCCAGTCCAGCAATGCCGGGAAACGCCATAGGATGCTTTTCATTTCTCATCCAAAAAAACTTGAACAAGAGGGCTGAATACTCCTTTATTCTTTTTTGTAAGTATTGACATGCATCGCCGAAATTTCGGAACTTCAGCTCAAAATACTTCTGGTCTAAAAGTATCCTCAACTCTTTTAGACAATCTTAAATTTTGCTTAAGGGCCCATTAACCGATTTATCCGCGCGCTCGCACGCGTTGCTAAGGAGGTGAAATTTCACTTCCGGTTACTTACGTCAGCCTGAGCACGAAAAATAAAAATAACTCAAAAACTTGCAAATTCGCTTACGTTTTAGGTGCTTTTCTTTGTAATTCCCAAAATGCAAAGTAAAAAAAGTACGAGCAAAGACAAAATAAGAGAAAGACAGAAAAACAAGAGCAATAGAAAGAGAAAAACTAACTCCGTGTGGCTTTGTGTTACCGAAGTGCGCTGGTAGTGTAAATTGCGCACGCGCTGAAAGGGTAACTTCCAATAGATATCGGGCGCACTTCCGGTTTCTTTAAATGCTAAAGGAAACGCGGTTTTTCATTAAATCCNTACAAATTTTTCAATATTTTGAAATACTCTCGAAATCTGACCTTTTTGAAATAAAACAAAATCGATGCAAAGCGTAGTGAGCATTTGAATTAAAATATTAAATCAATGAAAAAAATCCCGATAAAGTAATTTGCCTGGGAGCCTTTGCATTTTTTCTGTATTAGTCACATGACCATGGGCGTGGCCTGATGACGTCATCAATAGTGTTACTGGTCATGAAAAAGCTAAAACACATGAAATAACTCTGAACTGGCTAAAAATGATGAGGTTATATGAGAATAAATTTTCCTTAGCAACGGCTCGAAAAGATCGGTTAATGGACCCTTAATGGGTCCTTAATCAAAACAAAAATGGTCGAACAATATGTATTACTTCCAAAGGCACCCCGCACTCTCACTGATTAGGTCATAGTTTTCTTGTAACAAGGATCCAAGTGTAGGCATTACTGATGAAGAATTCGCAAATCATGCCAACTCTATTGCATAACTTTAGCTATACTTCTCTTGTGCTCAAAAAGCTAAAAAGTCGCAGTCTCTGCAGTCAGTTTCTCAGAGCTATCGGTCATGAGCAGTAAAAGACTGACGTTTTACTTGGCTTGAGAGTGCAATTGTTTTCCTTAGGAACCGTCTCCGTGTCTTTCCCGATGCATGATATCCAAAAGTCAGTCCTGGCCATCTCCTGTCTGATCAGACAATGTATGTTCTGTAGACCCATCGGTGACTCATTCCCAGGGCCCTAATCTCCAGGCAACGAGTTTGACGTCATAGCCAGATGTCAAAAGTCTTCCAGTTTCCTCATTTCGGTGAAACGTTCGTTCGGCTCACAATTTCTTCGTCGTCTTATCACTGGTGTTTTCAGCAATTTTCACAGGTAAGTTGTGATAACCATGGAGATTTTATACGCCACCAACACTGATTTCAGAGCAGAAGTTTGTCCAATTTGAATCGTTGAATCGACCGGGTTGTTTTTCCGTGATGATACGGGATTTGCTGCCACTGTTTCAGCTCCACTCAACTGTTCTCTGTTAACTTCAACTTTCTGGCAGTTTTTTAATCTGTTTCTTAATGGAATTGTGCCAATGATATTGCTTTTAGACTTTCTCCCGAAGCAAATGCATTTGTTTGTGTTTTACCGTAATCCTTTCAATTTCTTTCTTCGTTCGATTATGTAAATATGTGCGCATTGTAACTGGAGTTGTCTTTGACGATGTATCTTCACTGGGAAGGCCTTGTAACAAAAACTTACCATGCATCTGAATTTCGGATGCGAATTAATTTGCTGGAGCCGAAAGGAAAGATCAATGCGGCTGTTCTCACAGGGTAAATCTGGCGTGAGTGATGACGATCTGAACTGTCTAAATTTTCCAAGGCCGAATCAGTCGACCGAAAAGATTGCCTTTTGACAATCTCACATTTTTAAAACCCTACAAATTCTTCCATATACAAAACGATATTGTAACGTGCGGCTGGCAATATTCTGTGTTAGCTTCATGTTGTGTCTAGTTTAGGGTTGGTCCACACAATATGTGGGAGGCGTATACAAGTTTTAAGACTAATAAAGCTTCATGTACTAAGACGTAATTATGCAGGTGCTGATACCTCGCCTTATAGTTTCGACAGGTTTCATCCGTTTCATCAAGAATGAAATCTTATCGTAGTAGCAAGTCGCAATTTCCGTGAATCACGTAATTTTAAGGTTGGCGAATAAATAAATGGAATAATAACAAAAGTGCACAAGTTAGTAGGAAGATGCTAACAGGATGCATGGAGACACTTACACTCTGTGTACAATTTACACCCGAGAAGGCACGCGATGTTTTATACAAACTCAAAACTCAAGAAACAGCGGCCACGTTAACTTGTAGGAATGTACTCAAAAGTCCCTGTGCTCAGTAAAATTTTGACAAAAGCAAGCAATCACTGAGATGTAGCAGAAAAGCATGTTTTATACTTGACATGTACATGTTCAGAATAATGCATGTAACTGAAGTGCACATCCAATACAGACCAGGGACCCGTTTCTTGAAAGTCCCGGAAACTTTTCAGACCCGCAAAACCATTTTTAGAGCTCATCTGTATGTTGAAACGGAGAAGTGAATACGCCTAAAACTTCTTGTGTGAAGGGAACCTCTGTTTATATTAAGAATATGTGAATAAAACAGCTCTGTAATCATAACGTTTAGGATTTTGCTATGGGTTTTCGAGTGCATCTTCGAGAAACGGGCCCCAGGGCCCAGTAGTTCGAAAGCTGGACAACGCTATCTGCCAGATAAATCACTATCCAATGGATAAGTGTTAGGAGTAGATAGTGATTTTCCCAGGATAGTGATTTATTCGGTGGATAGCATTATTCACCTTTCGAGCAACCTGGATAATCTTTTGAATTACGTTTAAAATTTGTACAGGTCATTAACCCATTGACTCCTGGAGCTTTTTGCCAAAAACACATTTTTGTACATTTTGGAGATTTTCAGGCTGGATATTCGCAAAATTAGCTCCAATCTCCTCAAAAAGGCATTTGCAACATGACAGCATGCCTTTCTTTCCAATAGCATAGCGTTTTACGACACTTTTGCTCGGGCATGCACAGAAATCAAAATTTTTAGGCTTTTTGATTTTTTTTTTTTTTTTTTCACCTTTCCTTTTTCTCTTTTTCTTTTCTTTTTGCTGCAGTGATTGACCTTCTACTGGGCTTGCTTCCAGTTTAAAACATTCTGAGAAAGCATCATTGAGACGGGCTATTTTTGCCATGGAGTAGCCATGTGTAGTTGCAGGAAATTTTGCTCTGAGTTTTTCACTCAACTTTTTGAGCATTTTTTTGTGCATATCTCAGGCTCCATTGGGTAGATCACTCTCATCTGGGTATCATTGGAAAGATCTTTTGCTCCTGCAGAAGTTGAGCATAGATGATGCCAATTTTGGTCAAAGGTGATGATGTCAGACGTGGAAGAAAGGTCATTAGGCTCGTCACGGCCAGTTATGGCCGACACAGGAGTCAATGGGTTAAATGGTGATGAGTAAAGTTAGGAAATAATTTTACATGCATTTTATCAAAATTCTTATCACTATTAGAATTTTGATAAAATGCAAATGAAAATATTTCTCAGTTTCACGAGTATAGGGTTATGATTAACCCCTACAAATTACCCTACTTACAATGGTGGGTTTTTTACTTGTTTATTGTATCAAACTTTTGTGCCATATGTGTAAAATTTTAAATCAATTCTGAAATTTCACACCAAAATGAAGGAGTTACGTGTATTTGTGAACTATGATATTGATTAAAGTGTATATTTCATCCTGATCGTCACCACTAGTCTTTTCTAGGCCTTACTAACAATGTGGTAAATGTACTTGTACAAAAAAGTTGTTTCACTCGGATAACCATTAAAAAGCTTACAAGTACAAAAGAGATGGCTATACTTTCTCACTTTGTCACTGTGTAAATATATGTTACTGTTTATTCTATTTCTCTGACAATGTCTCTTTTGAAATTTGTAGGTGCTGCCATTTTGTCCAGTTCATCTTGAGTAAACATGGCAGAAAATGGTATGTGCCCAACTAGAAAGAAATTAATATTTCCAAATTCGCAATTTATTAGCTACCCTGCAAGACAGAGATTCCATCTTCTTTCTGCTCGGTTAAAGATGAGAGGGAACTTCTGCTTGCAACCATCCAATCGTTTGATTGGCCGGTATCCTTATCTCATCTGATATGGCTGGATTTGAGAACAATTTGAGTATTTGTTATTAATAAATAAACCTTTTTGGTACACTTCACCAGCATGTAAGGCAAGTTTGGTCAAACAGTGTTAAGATTCAACATAGTGTGGCATTCATGTACAGCAGATAAAAATGAATACTATACGGTACCAAACTAAGTTTGTCATTTATACATTTATTTATAGAAAGAAGCCAGTGATATTGACACATTCAGTTATTATGCTGTGACTTATATGATGTATTTTTGCACCCAAGAAAACAAACTTACTTAAACAATAGAGTGTTTCTGTTCAGGAACTATCGGCTGATAGTTGCCCCGAATTTTTAAGGGGCAACTATGAGACTGATAGTTCCGAGACATGAACACTCTATTGTATTTACTGTTCACCACTAAATTTTCTTCTGTGCGCCAGTACAAAAATCATATTGAATTTTTCAACTTTTTTAGATGAAGGCCGTGAAAGCCAAATGTCAAATTTGACAAAGAAAACAAACAAAAACCCTTCAAAGACAATTTCAATTGTTTACCTTCTATAAGCCCGCTTGTTTACAGAAATATTTTCACGGACAAGTACTATCCATCTGGGTATTTTCCTCGGACTGGCACTATGGGCTGATAGTGTCTCTACGGATGAACACTATCGCGTCACGTGATCAATTTAAACCAATAAGAATCGGAGAAAATTTAGTGATAACTATAATCATTATATAACACCTAATGTACAACATTCTTTTCTGGCTTTATTGGGAATGCACTTACTACAGTGGCATTGTTTGTAACAATTAACACTCGCACCCTCAGTCCATCCCTCAGTAGACTTTTTTAGACTTGGAGTAAAAGAGATAGTTGGCTCTGGCCCAGATGTCAATGTCTGTCTCACAGAGAGTTGACAGTGTTACTCAAATGGCAATGATGTGAAGTTTATATGAAATAATTCATATATGAACTGCGGTTGTAGATGAAAGTGAAGAATGATCATCGCAGTTAATTTTCCAATTTTAAGCAATTGGAAAGAAGAAGCCTGAAAAAAATCAGGGCTTCAACGGGATTCGAACCCGTGACCTCCACGATACCAGTGCGATGCTCTACCAACTGAGCTATGAAGCCACACATTGGGAGTGAGGTCAATTAATTGAGTTCATATATGGCAATGTTAGAGTGTATAAAATAAATTAATTTCAATGTAATGAAAGTAATTAATGTAATTAATTTAATTTGTTATTTTTATTTTATTGTCTGTCTAGATTCCAAGCCTCCACCATATGCACCTCCACCATACCCTGGTCTGGCAGATCCATCAGCCCAACCCCAGTACCCTCCTCCAGGGCAGGGTTATGACTGGAGTCAACCACCAACTTCTTTCCTAGGTCAACATCAACAACCCTATGCAGGTGCTCCCCCAGTGACCCATCCTCCAGCCCTGGGAGGTGCAGCATCAGACAAGCCAGCAGGCTACCCAGTTCAGCCTGGTTATCCTGGGCAACCTCCTCAGCAACCTGGTTATCCTGCACAGCCTGGTTACCCAGGGTACCCAGGCTATCAGCAAGGTTATCAAGGCTATCAGGGTTATCAACCTGGCCCGATGACAACACAGACCAGCTCAGTCACAGTAGTGGTGTGTAATTGTGTTGTTTTTGTTGATCTTGTTGTGGTTTGTTTGCTTTGTTTTGCTTGCTTGAATATGACTTTGCACAGGGATTTTTCAGGCTTAGGAATTTTTCAGGCCAAGTTGAAATTTATGTCCAAACTCCATAAAGCTTTTAACTGTTATTATATGTAACATCTGTGCTGGATACAACTAGTTCTTTTTAGCAATGCTTGGCTCTGTGATCAATGCACAATAAGATGGGTTTTGAAATAGTATGGAAAGGTTCTTCATGTATGTACCTTCAAACTAATCATGCCTACATATATGTGAGTGTAGCTCTGAGTCCATTTTCATCATCTTTTAATTATTTTTTTCTCCATGACCATTCCTCTGCAGGGAGGCATGGGACCTAGTGTTATCGTGGCTCCTCAGATAGCTCCTCCTGATTATTGTGGCCTGGCCTGGTTTGCTTGCCTTTTCTGCTTTGCACCAACAGGAATTTGTGCTATTCTAAAGTCCACTGAGGTAAGAGGCAATGGATACTTTACTAGATTATTAAAAACTGGAATGCAATGTCCGCAACAGTGTTTTTATACTGTATTTCTCTAAATTATAGAAATCAGTTAAGTGGAAAAATTGTATAGCCCAATTAACATGTCAGTAGGCACAAACATGTTTATAAAATGGAAAACTGGACAACTTCGTAAATTTATCCTTTGTCTGTACTAAATTAAAGTTTCAAAATTGAGTCTGAGTGTAACATTCGCAATGGTGGATACTCTGTTGATAAACCATTAGTGTTATTATTATTATCATTATTATTGTTATGATTGTTATTGTTCTTGTTCTTGTTATTATGATTATAACTGGATCATTGGATAATGATATTCGAGAGTTTTCATTGGCTTTAAGCCATTCTGGGTGATGAGCCTTACTTAGCCACTATACCATGCTCTACAAATATAGTATGTGTATGAGTGATTTTGGGGGGGCATTTTTATTTTTATTTTAGTTTACTTTCTATGTTTTGGAGGCATTTTTAATAAGACAATTATTCCATCCACGCCTGTTGGATATGGGATAATTATAGCCAACTCAGCACTACGTGCCTCGTTACCTATTTTCCATCTCATATCCATCACATGCTCATGAAATAACTGTTAAATATCTAAGGGTATTGTAAAAAATGATAAAAAGGGCTGAGAGAAGTGATTGTCAATCTAGCTCCTTGTCAGGGAAATTCTAAATTTCTTGTCAAATCCTAGCAAAACCTGGGGAATGGTATTTGGGGGGTGGTGTGGGTTTTTTTTTTTGTTGTTGTTCTCTTCAAATAGCAGACAACCATGTCGAAAGATAAACATATCACCTGTGAGGTGCAATGATCTTGTCTTTGTTTTTCAGACTCGTCAAGCTATTAACCGGGGAGACTTGATGACTGCCAACCAGCTGAGCTTGGAGACCAGGAAGTTGGCAAACATGACGATCGGCATTGGAATCACCATATTTGTTGTTAGCGCTATTATCCGCTTTGCACTTATGGCAGTTTACTAACAATGTGTTTAATATTTTCCATGTTTACATGGATCAAAACTTTTTATTTTACTCCACGACTATCGATCAAACTTACATGCAATTAACTTGCTTTGTATGTTTGATGGATGTTTGTTAGCTTAAGGAGACATTTTTGAAGTAAGTTTTCACACATGCTAAATGGAAACCTCCAAAAGTCTACTTTTATGTGCCTAGCTTGTACCTATTTCACTATCCTAATGATTTAACGGGGTAATTTTGTAGGTTTACATTGTATTATCTAGAGCTGGCAGAGCTGTTATACATGTAGTTTACCAAGCAGTTACGCAACTGTACAATGAAGATACACTTGATAGGTTTGAATAGAATATACATGTAAGTTAGATTTAATCCTTCTAATTCTCCTGACTGTTGCCATGATATTTTGCTTGTCTCCTGGTGAGAATTAACATGTAAGCTGGAAAAGACGTTTTCTTTTTGTTATCATTTAGACTTGACTGATGGAAGCTTGTGGTACACTACAGCTGAAATGTTTCTTTTTGGGGGGGGGGGTGGGTACTTTTCTCTGACTGACTGCAGGTGGATCTTTGTTTACACATTTTTTTCGTTGGCATTATGAGATTTCTTTTTCTAAATTTGTAAAGACTTAAAAGTCAAGTAGGTTTGCAAAAGCTGCATTTGAGATATAACTTGAAAATTATCACCATTTTAGAGTACATTTATATCAGTTTGTCTTTTCGTTTTTTTGGTTGTGCTTATTACACCAAATGTAAACAATGACGTCATAAAACATCCACCAAAACTGTTCTTAGTTATTATGAATAACTATTTGCATAGATTACAGCTATATATATCAGTATGTGTAACTACAGTTAGAAAGCAAGTTACAGAACATACCTCGGCCAACTGGATGTACCAAGTTGAGCATAGCAGCCAGGGGTAGTCTCTCCTGGCTGTATGATTCTGGCTCAACAGAATACAAGAAAATAAACGTCTGCAAAGCAATCACTTTTTTTTCCTTTTTGGCCTTGTAGCTCAGTGGTAGAGCAGCGGAAGGTCCATTCCGAGGTCGTGGGTTCAAATCCCTCCTTGGCCAAAATTCAGTTTCCTTACTACACTCTATGTAGGATCAAAAGGATTCATAAATTGTTTGGAGCGTATTCTCCAGTTCCAATTCTTCTAGAGAAAAGGGAGATTGTTTTGCAGTTGATACAGAGTAGTCACCAGGGGAAGATGTTAGCCATAATGAAAATGTGTGTTCATGTCTGCCCCTGACCTTTTGGCAATTTATACAATTGACTTTTCATTCCTCTGTAGAAGGGCTCTTTCATTGTTAAAATAGTAGGGGAAAAAAACCTCTTCATATGACTGTTAGTTTTAAAACGTTTTTACATTACGTGAGTGTAGGCACAGGCTGACGTGTATCAAGATACATGGCATACTTGTGGTACTGGATTTCAGTTGTTTTTTTTTTTTTTTTAACCTAGTCACTTAATGAACTTACAGAACTGAGTAATGGTCAGTCCATCCCAGTACAGAACTCACTATAAACTAGCTAGCAAGATTGAGCGGTTCTTGTATGTTGAATAAGTATTTGTAATAAATTAACGTATAGCATCATTTACTGTGTTTCGGTTATTGTTGTTGGCAGTCGTGGGGGGAAAGGGGGGGGGGGGGAAGCGAAGGCACTTAAAGGCACTTGTCTGTCTCCAAAGGTTTTCTTTGCCTCGCCAATTTCTACATCTCCATTTTCATAAGTTCATTCTGTAACATCTTAAAACCTCACGCCAAGTGAAAACTGTCAAATAACAACTTATTAAAACACTGAATGAATCTAAAAGAACTTCGTAAAAACGAATTTGATAGATTTAATTTGAGCCACACTCGAGTTATTAGTGCTAATTTATTACTTAAAAAGATTATTAAGTTTTCTTGCAAGCAAACTACAAAACAAGAAAACGTAAGACACAACCTGGCTCAGATTGTAAAACAAGGGGGTACTGTTTTAGTACTGTTGCTGGAAGCGGAAAGATTCGGCACACACTGCCACACACCAACCATTTTGGATAAACAGATGAGGGTTCGTAAAGAGAAATACTGTGTTGAAAATACCGAGTGTGGTTATGTGAATCAAGGGTAGAAATGCAAAGCTGAAAAAGAATGGGGGAACTTATGGGTTGTTATAATACAAAAGTTTCAAATTACAGTAACTTAACAACTAACTGCGATGAACCTTTCTTTTCTATACAAAGACGCTTAAGTCTTTTCTATTCCTTTTTCCTCGACCTACAGCAACACATACGCTACTGACTTGTAGAAAACTTCAATGCCTACTTTAGTACACAGAGGCTTTTCCAACATTCTACATCCTTGAAAGCGTGGGATAAAAACTGAACCGATAGTTCACAGTCAAACGTCTGTAGCAGAGAGCGTCGAGAGTTCTGTGGGTCCGTTTTTAAAATACCGTACGAAATGCCAATTCTACACACAAAAGCCAAGTTTATAGATTCTGGGCATACATGTTATGGATAAGAAACTGTTAACCATGTGCCGAAAGTGATGGAAAATTAACTTCGCTTTTGCGTTACAATACAAATTGCACGCCATTTATTTACAAAACCTAAGAAACAAGCTCGACTCCTCGCATCACGTAAAATAACTCGGACTTGTCTTTACTGTGTTCTATCCTCCTGATTGCGCAGCAGGTGGCGCATTTCCGTTAAGCGTCTTTCAAGGTAGGCAGACTGATCACAAAGCTTGTGGTGAAGGTTACTCATGGCTGCCAGAGTTTAAGCTGTCCATCTTCACTGTACGTAGAGATGAGATTGTTGTGTGGGTGATGTTCGACGCCTATCACATCCTTGTCATGAACCTTAAATACAGAGACCAGTAAAAAAAACTCAGTTACGTTTGTGTAGGATTTCTTTGCCAAACAAGTGGCATGTCCCCAGACTTCTCTTCTTTGTTGTCTTAGTTGGAGTGCTGTTAAACGCAGGACACGGCAAGACAAGGCTTATGCACCACTCTTAATAACAAAAAACTAGAAAGTAAGAAATATCTCTTCGACGCAAAGAAAATATTGAGCATTTAGTAGGCCAAAAAAAACCGAGAAACGGCGTTGATATTTAGGAAATGGAAAACATGTACCGTGTTTCTATCGAGTTTCTATCGAGTTTCTATCGAGTGCTATGGTGTTAGATTAAAGATGTACTACCCTTACAAAAAAAAAAAAGAAGAAGAAACCGGCAGTCACACGCAAATCACACTTAAGGTGACTCCATAGGGTAATAATTTATTTATGGCAAGTCTTAGTCTTGAATGCTGTTTTTGCATTCGTTTTTGCACCCAGTCCTCTCAAACTCACTACATGTAATAAGCAATGATTAAATAGTGTTTTACTATCATGTCCGTTAAAATTTTGGGTTTTAGTCTTGAATTATAAATGCTCAAACAAAAGTGGTTTTTTTTTTAATTTTTTTATGGCTATATTTGCGATTTTCTTGAATTTCCTTCGGTGAAATCTTCCAAAATTTTCACAGCATATCGCATCCTGTGGGATACGAATCTCAAACACGACAAAAGTACGGTTTGTGCAGGCAGTTTTTTCGATTTTTGCAAATTTATGTCTTTTACCGCTGCGAAAAAACTGGTCTGAGAGATTTCCCTGAAAAACGAGCTCCGACTAAAGTAAAATATTTACTACCAGTCTGCCAAATTTTACGGAATTTCACCGAAGAAAGCGCGAGAAAATTCACTGTCAGTTTTGCTTTTTGTACTCATGTTGACTGCGTCATAAAATATCGAAAAACACTGACATTTTCCTTCGAGCGCGCGCAGATTACTTGAGCTGGCGTCCTAAGCGCGCGTGCGATCGTAAAACTATAGGGAGGCACCTTAAACCGCTTTACAATATGTCATACTGGGCAAGTAAACATACCTGCAAAGACTGTTCTAGTTTTCCTGTCATGGTACTAAAACAGTACATGACCATGTCCTCTCCTACACAGTAAACCCATTCTCCCCTCGGGGAGAGGGTACAACACACAAAGTCACCACCGTCTCTTTTACCACTGGTGAAGCTGCGCACAATCTGAACACAGAAATACATATTCAATATATATGGGAGTCATGCGAAACAGGATTTGCAAAGAAGTCTAAATTGCTGGACTCCTTGAGTTTTAAATTCGTGGGGTTCTACGTTAGTACATAACTGTATTGCGCTTTTATAAATGGGTAAAATGTAGAACAGGAATTGAGTGTTTCTCTTCACAGAGCGAGGAAATGTGCTTTGTTTTGGAAATAGATCTGGACATGACAGCTTCCCACCAGAAGTGAATCTCGGCATGGTTTTGTTCAATTTTAATGCTTGTTGTTGTGTTAACATCGGGTGGTGGCAGTTTTTTTTTATTGTTTGTTATTGCTGTTTGTTGCTGTTATTGTAGTCATTGTCGCCCCAATTGTCCCTACTGTTATTCTGTCTGTTGGTTGTGGCTGGTTCTCCCTCACCTGTCCCTGCATGTTCATGACGAGTACAGTGCTTGTTCTGTTGCACACCACAAACTGTTCAGGATTCCTCGGCATCACGTGAACTGAGTTCACCGTGATGTCAGTCGCAACGCTTCCTACTGATGGCTTAAACGTGTGAAGACACTCCGTCGTTTTTATATTCCAAAGCTGACAATAAAAAGAAAGTATAAGCATGAAATTATAAAAAGAAAGTGAAACTAATGTTCGGCTGTGGTAAGAAACAACCAAAGTTGTACACGGATGAGGCAGGCGTCCAAGTCAGTTTACAAGGGGCTTATCTGACTGGGTAATAAAGTACATTAGCAAACACAAGAAATTTCTCTCATCTCTCTCCAGTCCCGCTCGCAATTTCGCGCTCGCTTCAGACCCCTTTTGCGACGCAGCAGCCAAACAAACTCACGCACAAAACAGATTGTCGCAGTCTGGTTCGACGGCGATTAGAATAATTAATAAAAAAGTTGGTACCTTAACTGTTCCGTCACTACTCGCACTGATGATGTTGTGTGCATCTGTGGTGAATATGGCATCATTTACAAACGATGTATGTCCACGGAATTCCTTCAAAGTCTTCCCAGACTTAAGGCCATGCATTCTACAAAATATTTTCAAAATTTAGAACGGAAAAGGTAACTAAAGAATTGTCGAATCAAAGAGGCCTTTATACGCTGTACTAAAAGAAAAAGTCGCAAGTCACGGAATTACCTGTAGCGCTCTGTTGTCAGTCAGGTCGGTGCAAGGTACAAGATCTCAAATTCAGGATTTTTTTCAAACAGGGAGTGATGTTCTTAACAAACTGACTGTGTATTTGTTTAAAATAGTTGTTACCCTGAAATGTTAGTCACTCCTCAACCCGAATGTGAAACCCCAACGGGGGTGGGGAGAAGAGTTCGGTTGTGGTACTTAGCTATTTAAAGTATCCTCACAAAACATATGAGTAACGATTTGTGCATCCTGAACTGTATACTGCCTGATGTATACCCACCTTATGGTCATGTCAAATGAACCACTCAGAAGCTGGCTGGCGTCACGAGAGAATGTTACACAGGTCACACCTTTGGCATGTGCCTTTTCAAAACGCCGCAAGCACTGGCCAGTTTGTAACTTCCACACCTGAAAATAGGGTGTGATCAAGGAAAGACTTAGTGTAGAATTTACTAGAGGTTAACTGTTGGTTCATAGAATTGAACCACGCTTCCTTTGAAAGCATATGTATCTGTAAGACTGCTTTTCAGTGTTAATTACTTTTCATGCTCTTTCTATTAATATTTTAAAGATTCTTCAAAGATCTTTAAAAAAAAAGAGAGATCATTGCAAGATCTGTGAGCAAAATCTTTGAAGATCCTTCACGAATCTTGGTCAAGATCTTTGAAGATCGTGACAAGAATTGTACAATCCTAGGTCCTTCAACATCTTGGCAAGGATCATTAAGGATCTAGCTTAAGTTCCTGGGCCATAAAAACCCTCAAGGATCCTTGAAATACCTTCACCAGGAACATGCTCTGATACAAACGCGTTCTTTACAGTTGTGCAGTGGAAATCACAACAAACTGATTTTCACCAAAAAGTACCTGTGTAAATAGGCCTTTATCACAGACATAACAAAATAATTCTTGTTACCTTTAGCTTTCCGTCTTGCCCTCCAGAAGCTAACATTTCACTGTCACGACTAAAAGCCAAACATAAAACTGAGTCGTCCATCATCATGAAATTATCCTGAGCTTGATATTTTAAATCCTTTCTGATCTTTCCTGTCGTAAAGTTCCACACCTCAATAAAGCCGTCAACACTTCCCGTCACCAGGTATTGACCATCAGGAGAAAACTTCACACACTCGGGGTGAGATTTGGAACCAAACTGAGGTGAGAATATCAAAAGAAAAA